TTACTTCAAAATCAATAGCCCGTTTTTCACGTTATTTTTTATTAAGCTAGGAAGCTAGTGTATTGACCATACTGTTGTCTTCTTTCTTAAATGAGCTATGACCTGGTCCAGCAGCTCCTGATGAATAGTCTTCTCCCTCCTGCTGGTAGGTCAACCTCCCCTTGTCTTTGCTGTTCTTCCTCCGTCTCAAGGGTTAGGATGTATTTAAACAGTATTGAGACAAACATCATGTCTTCTTCAGATAGATTATGCTCTGGTATATCTGGAACTTCTGGATCTTGTAGTTTTGCCATCGTGTTGTGGAGTCAAGGATACAAAGATTTTGTGGATGTGCTCTGGATTAAAAGCGGCATGAAATCGGTGATCTCGAAATTTTCCAATGCGTAACACAGCTTAACAATGCACAACAGAGCTTGATAATCGTATCCGAGCGCGATTTAAAGCGTCATAATCGCATCAAAGCGTAATAAAGTTTATCAAAGCGTGATTTAAAGCGTAACAAGGCCTGATCAAATCGGGAAATAATTCGTCTCCCAAAGCGTAACCAATTCGTATCAGAGCTTATCAGAGCGTAACATTACTTAGGAGATCGTGATATTTTTGGAAAAGTAAGCAAAAATGATGGCGCTTTGCTCGCCGATTTAAAGCGCGACATTCGCCGTTGGTGTGAACTAGGCACTGCAAGAGGAGTCGGTCAGATTGCCCCAAATCGTGATTGGACGGTTGATTAGGAGCATGCCACGACGAATTGCTGAATGTTTGAGGATAGGTGGAGCAATTACTCATTATTAAGACAAAAATCAAAAACGCCCATTTTCACTTTTGACGGTGTATCTCTTTGCGAGTGAAATGGGGGGGGGGGGTCAGATAAGCCGCCCATATGAACTGTTTATGTTCATGTGTAGGCAATTGGCCTGTTATTAACATACCCTGATTACCTCTAATAAAAACAGCAGTGCATTTCCGCAGTTTTGTATTGTTTCTGAATATCCCCTAATTTTTTTGAAGAGTATATTACTTCAAAATCAATAGCCCGTTCTTCACGTTATTTTTTATTATTATTTTATCATTACTATTAACTGTCGCATTGCAATTTAGAATATGTTTTTCAATGTTCATTCCCTCTGCGCCCGAAACGATAAGGTACACGACTCGTGTACGGATTTTAAAATGTTAATTGTGTTTTAAATATTGGATATTAAGATCACATATTTTCACGTGCGTGCTGTATCACGAGGCCTGTCATTGAGCCAACTGGCGTGGTTTCGAATCCCCGGTTGAACGTGACAAGGAGTAGGGTTGCCTGTCCAACCTCGAGGGTTTTCTCCGGGTCCCCCGGTTTCCTACCACTACTAAAGAACCCTACGCGCAAGAGAATTATTGAAATAAAATTAAACCATATGTTACTCCCGCAATGACCTAGTCTGTGTCGAGTGAACGTTAAACCCATCTCTCTCTCTCTCTCTCTCTCTCTCTCTCTCACAAAAATATTTTCACAGCAGCATAACAACATCAATATGGATTGTAATGGACCAATATTGAATTCTAATTTGTCTTTTTAATTTCGAATATTATGGAAAATATTGAGTTAGATCATTAACTCCTTTAAGAAACAAATTGCTCAATTTTGCTGGCGGGAGCAAAGAAAGGAATTTAAGACTGCAAAAAAAAAACTTTTTAAAAAACCTAGTAAGCTAGTTTTGAAGGGTCCCTTTGGGCTGGATGAATTTCAAACTTTAAACTCCTTTTGTAGTTCGT